GCATATATATATATATATGAATATAGTTTTATTCATGCATGTAAGCCTGCACTGGCACAGAAATACAGACATCTGTACAAAAATGGAACTGTCAAAATGTTTAAGCAAAGAGAAATCTGATCATGCAAGTTTAAGCAAGCAACAATGAAAAGGACAGAAAATGGAACAAACGCTTGCAAACATTTTTTGGAGTGGGTATCTAGCTTGGCATAGGGAATTAACAGGGGAAAAAATCATGATACATTAAGAAGTGGTCCTTAGCCAAAATAATCCAAGCTGTCTCTTTCCATTTTCAACTTCTCCAAGACCATTTAAGTGTCAACACGCTAACAACTTCTGAGAACATCAAATGTTAACCCATCTTAACTGCAGGGGACTCGCTGATGACCCCTCAGACAATACAAGCCTACACTAGGTTTTGGGACATTTTATTTGTGAACATTAGTTACCTTTAAAAAAAAAAAAATAGGTCCACTGCCCCCAGCAATTTGGCTCTAGAAAGGAATCATTCTATTTCTAGAGAGATAATTCTCTGCTACTGATTTAATCAAATTCTTATAGGAAAGGGACAGGTTATGTAAGCACCTGCTAACCAATTACTGCATTACACCAAGCACTCCAGGTCTTGCCATGATCTTTCAGCATCAGAAAAAGCATGGAATCCAGCCTCCCCAAAACATTAAATGAATTTATTATGACAGGAGACTGGAATTCATTTTCACAACTTCTTGGGGGGAGTGGGGGAAGAATGGTTTCACTGGTGGAAAAAAATTAAAATTCATAACAACCTACATAACCCAGCAATTTCAATGAAAACTTGGAAAGTACATTTCCTATATTGCAAAACAATGGCTAATATTCAGCATTACCTTCTAGAAAACAAAGTAAAATTCATGTTGTCAGCAAAAAAAATTACATCAAGATTCCTATGTAGTGATTCTTCCAGGTGTGTAAAGATTTTTGTCAAACTGGATTTGGTTAATCAATGGCTAAACTGAATCTTTGTTTAGTACATTTCCCCTAGGTGCTTGTTGTGTCTGTCTTTATATTAGAAATCTCTTAAGGAGTTTGGTTGCTTAAGCTACCAGCTTTTTCCCCAAAGTATGTTAAAATTTGTATTATTTTTCCCAAAGTACTGTCTACTTACTATCCTGGTGAGTCCGCTAAGGGTCCGCAGAGGATATGGCTGCCGAGCCACCAACCATGGCACTTGATGTCCAGTTCCCTGACTCAGTTCTCTATCACGAGAAAATAAATTATACCTTAGAATGCCAGTGATTTACAGCTGAAATGTCAGAAATCATACAGTGTTTGGGAATTAATTATACAAGCTGCTTTACATTCTTTGATCCGTATTTAGAACAGTCAGTAGCCTTTAACCAGAGCTCTTGCCTTCCCTTCCTCAGATGGGCGGAATGGAGGCTGTCATCACTGGCTTGGCAGACGATTTCCAAATTCTGAAGCAGCATAGAAAGCTCTTCACCTTTGGTGTTTCTTTTGGCACTTTCCTACTTGCCCTTTTTTGCATCACCAATGTAAGTACAACAAAAGTTTCCATCAATAAGAGACCTTAAAAATGCAGTTAAGCTCATCAGATAGAAATATGAATAGGCTCAGGTGACTACTTTTGTTATGAATTTTAATTCTTAAACAACTTTATAGTTAGAACATTACTTTTAGTCTTATCTACATGAAGATTCTCTGCTTTTTTGCACAAGATCATTAGCTATCAACCGAAGTCTTTGTTCCAAAGAACTGTCTGTGCTACTGTTGGTTTTGTGTGTTTTTTGGTTTTGGGGTTTTTTTAAAATTTTTTAAATCACGTTAAATGGAACTGTGTTGAGTGCTTATTCCTGTGTGAGGAACTAAGGATTTCAAGTGACCAGACCTTTAGTCATCTGCCTATTCTCTTCTTCAAGCAAATAAGAAGCAGCATTCACTTCTTGTGAAAGTTTAGAATAATGATCATATCTCCCCGATGTGTTTTTTAATGTTCCTTCATCTACCTATATCTTATCTTTTACTCTTAACACCATAAAAAGCACACAGATAACTTATCCTGAACATCTAGGAACCTGTATTTATCACTACCATCATCCCGAATGATTTGCCTCCACCAGGCTTTTGACAATTAATTAAAGGATGAGAATCGGTGTTCTAGCTTGGAGAGAACTTTCCTTTTTTTTTTTTTCCCCTGACAAAAAAGCAAAAAGCCCTGTAAGCAAAGATGCCGAAAGTGTCAGAAAACAACTGAAACTTCAGATAGCCACCCCGAAAGACGATGTGCTGAACCTCTCTCCTTCTCTAGAAATGGTTTCCAGATCTATTATTAAGATTATTGAAACAGCGTAAGTTTATCAACAACAAAGCTCTTTTCACACTAAAAGAATATCCCAGTATTTTTACTCTAGTTTTCTCAAACTGGAAAACATTTGAGACACTAAAAATAGATATATCTTTTAAAATACCCATCCTTTTAATACCATGCTATCTCCATTGTTACCTGAAGCATTGAACATGCCCCTTCCTTATTCAAAGTTTCAACTGGAATAAAATTTCCTGAAGTTCAAGATGAGAACAAACTCGGTGGTTAAGAACCTGAACAGGTGCCAATGGGTGCGATTCCACTGCCTTCAAGTGAGCTAAAGCAGTTCAAGATAACAACCTAGCTCTAGCTTTTAAATAATGGCACCTGTTTAGACTTAAGTTCACCCCACCAGCTGGAATGCTCAAAACTGCCCAGACTTGTCCAAATGTATTGGCTCACATAACTGAAGAAGAATATTTCTAATGTGTACAAAATACAAAGAAAAACCCTTGTGATACCATCACATTAAACTAATGTTTGATTTTGTCCTCTGATTTTCAAAACATGTTTCTTACAAAACCGTATTTGTCATTCACTTTACTAAGTTTGATAGCTAAGGCATTCATTTAGAGCAGGTGTAGAGCAAAAACAAGAGGTCAAATTCAAATGTCATTCAATAAGCAACATTTTCTTTCTAACACAACAACCAAAGTTCATTCAGTTTCCAGACAAGTCCCCACAGAATTAAAAACCTAGACAAGGCCTAAGTACTGTTCTCTCTTTTTTTGTAAATAGGCACAGCTTTTTCAGAAACCCCTCTTTTTATAAGAAAAAAGAAAACTGATTGATTGCCCAGATTAAAATCACCTAGAGATCTAAATAGTGCAAGTGCTGTTTATACTATTGGTAAAAACAGGCAAAATAATTCCTCTGTTCCTCCCCTTCTTAACAGGCATAGTCAGATTAAGTTTGGTTGTTGTAAAAAGATTTTAATGAAAACCTACTGCAACTGCAAACGTTTCAGTTGTTTACATGTGACAAAAAATGTCCTGAAACACATTATTCAGGTTCATTTTGAAACAAGAAAACGTACCATGGTATTCCATTCCTCGTTAGCCCAAACTAAATAAAATGACCAGTAATTTACACAAATTCATACCACATTGTAAAATGAGGCAAAAAGTAGTCAAATTGCAGCTAAAAAAAAAAAAAATAATCAGTGAAATCAGACTTCAGCAAATGCATTTACAGTTCTCAGTCATGAACCACTGAAGAACAGAAATGTGCTGTTGTAAAGGCAGATGATCTGGTTTGCTCTCTCCACTGAGCAAAGGGCTTGCTCATACAACAGCAAAAAAACCACAGAGGGCAAAGCTGCTTCCACGCTGGCCTGGTAACACTTAACATGCAACTGCTCCCTTTTCAGGAACACTGGAAAAGAGAGATGCAGGCACTCTGGGAAAAGCAGACACCAGTCTAAGACTGCAGATTCACTGGACTACAGAATAATTGGCCTTAGGAACAAACTGAGTGATAATGGCTTGTGGAAACTCTTGTAGCGCTCCATTCCTGCCAATAACTGCTGTAGACAGGCCCTGTTCTACAAGCTGCTGAGCACTTCCCTGAACAGCCAGTGCCTTTAACTTCCACTGAAAACACCCAGTGCCAAGAGCACTCATTAATCATGCTAAGCTGAGGCCTCTGTTTCCCAGCTCAGTGAGGACATAGGTGAAAGGAAGCCTCTTTTAAAGAGTTGCAAGTCTGATTCCACTATTTTGTATGCAAATACGAACCCATGTCCGCAGCATCAGCTCTGTATTAAAATACTTGGGTTAAAATAATGTTTCAAGTAAAGTAGATTTCTGTTAGCTAGACACTAAACTACTGAGATTATTCTATTTGTAACTTCGTTTTGTTGGGTCTTTTAACTCCTCAATCTTAGGGTGGAATTTATGTGCTCACGCTCCTGGACACATTTGCAGCTGGGACTTCAATATTGTTTGCTGTTCTAATGGAAGCAATTGGAGTTTCCTGGTTTTATGGTAAGCACTTCATTTTGCACCTGCAAAATCATTTCTAAAATTCCAAGCACTCATGACAGGCTTACACATTGTTTTAAGGGAAAAGAGCACAGTCTTGTACACATGAAACCATGATGAGCCAGGTTTCATACAGTGATTTTTATTTGATTTATGAATAGTGACAGGAATGCAGACGTTCAGTGGGCCGAACTTTGAAACCCTGCACAAAGCCAAAGAAAACTGCCTTGTGAAGGAGACTGCAGCGGGATGGAAATGTTGCTACTTTTGCCAGTATTTTGCAGCTGTTAACATAGCTGATGACTTGCAGTAGCAGTTTTATACCTGGTAGTTTCAAAGCAAGTAGATTAGCTTAAATACAGGCTCACCTGTTCCTCCTTTCCATGATTTCCCCAGGGCCAATCTCAGTCTCCCCCCATGCAATACAAAGAAAGGAAGTTTGTCTTCAGAGAGTTATAGTAATTCCTACATTAGTCCTTTTTGTTTGAGGCAATATTCTACTTAATTGTAAAATGCTAGTTGTTTAAAATTTATCTTATTTCATAGCATGGTATGGAATACCCAACATCCTAGATACCAGAAATAATACTATTTCTAGTATTTCATAGAAATTTATGCCACAAAAAGGGTGCAGTGATTTGCTTTATCCTTAATATGGCAGGCTTTAGGAGTATTCAGTTGATCTGTGGCACTAGGCTGGAATCACTGTGTGCCAACCAGAGTTAAGTGATGTGCTACAGTACCCTGAAAAAAATACGACTCACAGTTTAAGTCAGGTCTCAGAAGATGCGCCCAGCTTATTAAATAACTTCCCTGGACTTACTTGGTCTTTAGTATTTTTTTCCTCCCTAAAGTAACAAATAAAAAGCAAGACACTTGATATACAAGTTTCATAAGAAAGAAGAAAAACATTTTTTTCTTTCCCACTGTATAAATGACCACAATTATGGCAAACAGCCACATTCACTGCTCTACACCCATATGAATGCACTTGGATAACCCTAACTGGGAAAAACCCAACAAACTGAAGTTGTGCTTTCCGCCACAACACTGACTTTGGCAACATAGCAGGATAGCGAGTCTGCCTGAGCTCAGTCCGGAACTTCAGTCTTGTGAAGTGTCCTGCGTTGTTTTTTCACCAAGGAAAAAAAAAACAATCCTCTGCTATAAGTGACGAAGTTGACTACTCTCAAAGAAGTTGAAACAAAAAGGTTAAACTCAATAGTAGGAATATTGGAATATTTGTTTCTATATGTAGCCTGCTAAACGTCCGATTATAAAGTTATGAGAGAGTATCTGGTCTGTGGGTGTTCTCCCCATCCCTAATTCAGCATTTAATAGATGAGGTGTTTTTAAATATCTGAAGCCAGTGTTTCAAACATTTCCCTTTTCCCCTACGCCCCCAACCTAGAGGAGTACTTTTTACATTCTAGCACTGACCCAGAGTTCAAAATTTCCCCTATCATATAGGAAGGTAGGGCATTCCATAGCCTCAAGCTTATTCACTGGAAAAGATGCCACCTCCAGAAGAGCAGAAATAACAAAGTGGTGTTAAGTCACCAAATCAAGCAGAAAAAAACAAGTCATAATTTAATCTGAATTAGGCATATCTTGCTAAAGAAACAGTGAAAGTGATTTTTCCTTTCTTTCGGGGAGAATATCAGTTCTTTTTCTTGTCACAGACTGGGTTAGTAAAATTATAAGGACCCCAAAAAGAATACCTTATTTTCTCCAGTTCAAGCAGTAGGATTCTGCATCTTAGGTCTTATACAAGTCATCTCACTGCAACAGTCCAAACTATCAGTTATGTCTGAAATTGCTTGCTGCTAGATTAATCAAGTTTCTTGAGCTCTTGTTTTTCTTCCTCATCTTCTCTTAATTCTCATGTCATACTTTCTGGTTCGTCACAACTCTTTTCATTATTAGCAGGTTTCAATGTCATAGCAGCCTGCAAATCTTCTTCCCATTGAAGTCTGTATGGAACTAGCTCCCTGATTCCCAGTAAGATTGTTCTTCCCCTGAAAGTCATGTTCATTTCTATTCAGAGATAGTGTTTATAGTTAACATATGATTCAGAAGGTTCTTAAACATTATCATTCTTACTGCCATTTACCTCCCTCAGTCACTTATTTATCTATCCATGCTGCGCCACCATATTCTTCTAGTCAAACAAACTCTCTCTTACAGTTAAAAACTGTTGATGAGTGAATGAGGTGAAAGAATGGCATTCATGCATAAAGCAAAGTTCAGTCTACTAAAGAAATAGTTTTTAGCTTTAATGTACCAATTCTGTCACCCAACATCAGCATGGAGCTAGCAGCTCATATGCTGTTCTCTCTCAAAATAGTGGAGGCACTAGATTTCACAGACAACTGCCTTTAATCCCTGTAAAAGAGCTGAATGCAGAAGAGTGATGATAGCTTAGCTTGGAAGCAGAGGCATAAAAATATTCTTCAGTTAGTAAGGGCAAGTTATAATCTGCTGCTGTTAAAATAGGATTTACTGCACTTTACAATAGCTAGGCTTTGTATGTGGTTCACAGACTAAGCCAAGGTTAGTCAGCTTTTGTTTATTTGTTGCACCTTCTGTCCTTCATCATCCTTTCCTTTCTCCCTCCTGCCTCCCCATAACCAGGAAAATATCTATTCATTTGTCTTAAGCAGCTGACAGATGTTTTTACTGACACAGTATGACCTGTTGCTTTATAAAGAACTTATTACAGCCCCAGGTGCTATTTAAACTGATTAAATCTGGCATGATCTTGTCTACCTCTTTTTTCTGATAAACCCCAGTTGCCTTAATGACCCAGCTGAATATTAAGCCAGCCTGAAGGCAAGCATTGACATTTTGGCACAGACCAAAAAGGTGGAAATTTAGTTCAAATTATAGCTATGACCACTTACAGTGAAGTTTCTTCTTGCAAAGGCCACCTGTATGTGTAAGAGAAGGGAGAGCTAGTTTGTTTTACTATGCAGATATATTTTAGTTATGACTGCTAGCTTGTTACCATTTTTCCTCTTGTGCAACCCTGATTATCATCCCTCTGATGAATATTCTAAGAAAAGCCAGACATCTCGCCCACTGACACAAGACTGCTCTTCGGTTTCACTTGCAGGAAAATCTCTACGCAGTCAGATTTTAATGTGAACATCTCCCTGAATGACTAGAATGAGCTCAGTATGAGCTAGCTATGATCTTCATCCTCACATGTAATCTCATTGCTTTCATTTACTTAAATCATTTCCAAAAAAGATCCCTTAGACTGAAATCTCAGACCAAAAGGTGCATTTATTTGAAAAAATCTAAGGTCGACTGTTCGATTTTGCAAAAGGGAAAGAAATTAACCAAGTACTGACTGCTGGAACTCATCTTTGCTCACAAATGCTTTTGTATGGATGTGTGCCTGGGATGACAGACAAAGTATGAAGGCACACATTTCCATAGAATGGAAATACAAACGGGGCAAACCAACTTGGAGAGCTTACTGCACTGCCGTGGTGGGGAAATGTTTCCTACTGTTCTGCTTGTTTTCACACTAGCACAGCTGCCCTTCTTTGGGAATGGTACTGGTACAGCTTACTCCCTTATTGCCACCAGATGAGGGTCACCACCAATGAGTATCAATATTGCTCCAGAGTTAGAAAGGAGACTCAGGAACAAAAAGAGATGGTTGTTACTTCACTACATGGCTAATCAACAGATATCTTGTTCTGTGCTCTGTAGGATTTGCAAATGAACGTCACACACAATGGCTTTTATACTCTTTTTATCCCTTCCTTCTCATGTTCCCAATGCCAACGATCGCTGAGCTGTGTGAAAAAACAATATCCTTCCTCATCTTCTCTGGACGAGGGCTTGCTTGTATCTGCATTTGATAGATACATGGTGTTAGGACAGAAGCACGGGGCAGGTGTTGTCTTTATGTGCAGAAGAGCAACTCAAATGTAGGGAATGGATGACAGGATGGCCGAGTGCTTGTGGGTCAGGGCAGAGGCCACCAAGGGTGACATTGTGGGGAATATTGTTACAGAGAACCTGATCAGGGTCAGGAAGTGGAAGAAGCCTTCTTTAGGCAACTTAAAGAAGTGTCCAGACCTGACCCCGGTTCTTAGAGATGAAGGTGTCAGAAGCAACTTCTTAGCATAGATGCTAGATGGACAAACCAGAAGTGACACTCTTCTGGATCTGCCACTTGCACTCAAAGATGAGCTGCTGGGGATGTGGGCAGCAGGCTAAACGAGTCAGAAGAGTGACCTGCCAGCATATGAAGGCCAACAGCATACTGAGCTGTAACAGAAGCACAACCAGGAGATTAAGGATGTGATTATTCTCTTACTTGGCACTTGTTGGACTGCACCTGGAATACTGTGTCCTGTTTTTAACCCTCAGTAGAAGAAGATGGTGTTAAACTGGAGGGAGTCCAGTGGTGGGCCACCAAGACATTCAGGAGTTGGAGCACATGCCCTGCGAAGAAAGTCTGAGAGAACTGAGTTTATTTAGCCTGGAGAAGGCTTAGGGAGGACCTAAGAGTGGCCTTCCAATACCAAGGAAGTTATCAAGAAAGAGAATCAGGCTTTTCACTGAGATGCACAATGGGAGGACAGAGGACCATGATCAAATTGAAAGGAGGAAAATAATTTTTCTATATAATGATAATTAAACATTGGAACAGTTTGCCCAGAGAGTGCTTGCTGACTCTGTTCTTGGAGGCTTGCAAGACCCAACTGGACAAAGCCACGAGAAAGCTGTTCTGAATTGTGCTGACCTTGATTTGAGCAAGAGGCTGAACTAGAGACCTCCCAAGAACTCCTCCAACAGGAATAATTTGATGGTTCTGTGATTTACTGTAATTCCCAAGGGCCAAAATATAGGATGGATCAATGAAGCACTTTCACTACAACTCTTATTTGCATCCAAACTGCGTGAGCTCATACACTGCCACGCACATCCACAGAAGTAAAACTCAGTACGGGGAGAAAAAAAAAAACAGTGAAGGAACATTCACAGGGAAAGGGAATTAAGTGCAAAATAACTTGAAGATTGATTCAATATACCTTTTTCCTTACTACTATATTATTCCAGTGTAGTTCTTGGATTCATTTAAATCATATGTATGGCATTAAAGGCATTATTACTAATTTTTACTTTTCAAATTAAAAAAAATAATTCCAAGCATATGGAAGAATACTATACATCACATAGTTAAACAAGACAGGAGGGGAAAACAACACATACAAAGATGGCTTGTAGGGATCCAAATGATTGTTGGAGCTATGACACTACTTTTTGCAAACATGCCCACAAATTATTTCAGCTACAGCCACTGAGCAGTTTCACCTCAGGGCCAGGACCTGCCCAAGCGCTTCTGTGCAAGTGAGTGGTTTTGAAGCCACTGGCTGAGCCTATACAGCAAAATGACTTACAAAGGTCTAGCAGGCAGCAGGTGCAGGAGGTACCGGTAACATGCAGACTTTCATTCTATCTGAACTCTCATCTCTGCATCACTGAGATGAAAGGTTGTCCCAATGTGAGGAGGGTAACTTGCATTTATAGCTAAATCTACTTTTCACTTTCTTCCTAATCTGTTCTTTTTTGCATATTGATTTAATTCCCTTGACAACACAATATTATGTACATAGAGAATGGGCCAAATTTTCTGTGCCGTTTAATAGACCATTACAGTGAAGACATTCTCAGGCAGCTGCAGTGTTAATTAGTTCAGAAATCACACTGAAATTCTCTTTGGGTTCAGTGTATTTAATCAGGATCTGATCATAAATTGTAAGTATCTCTTACTTATCACTGGAAAAGCAAGAAGATTATTTCCATATTCAACACCAGGTCTCCAGCAAGTAATCTAGTGTTTTGTTTGTGGTACACCAGTTCCTTCCTGTAACTGAGTCACCCACAGTTTCAGTTTATCCTACAGAATCACAAAAAAACTGGTTAAATGCTTTCAAGAACTGGAAAAAAACAAGCCCTACAGTTACCATCATCCATAGCTATAGCTATGTTCTACTTTACAGGTTGATTCTTAGAACGGTTATTTGAAGACATATAGTATTGAAAAACCATGCTGTTGAAAAAGTAGTCTGAGGGCATGGACTACTTATCCCCCATTTTCAGTAGAAATTGAACACAAAGCACTATTTGAGCTCTGGGTATGTCTGTCTGGAAACCTATGAATAAAATTTTTGGAGATATCTAGTCCTTGTCTTTGACCTTCTGCACAATGATAAATTTCACTCAGTATTCATAGCAGTTGAAATTCAGTCACTTTAAAGTTCACAGAAGGCACTGCAAATAGAATTAGATTAAATTTAAAGAGCATTTGCAGATCCTTTTGGCTACTTTGCTTCACCTGTACATAATGGGGGGGGTGTGTGGAAATCAAAGAGAAGTTTACACTCAAATGTCCAGACCTTGTAAGTACGTTAAACCCTGGCTGGCAGTAAAGGACTAACTCAAGCTGTCCTAATTATTTACATCAAATAAATCCTACTGAACTGATCCACATGAAGAGAAACAATTATTATGGTAAACTATACATCCTCTCTGAAGAACAAATATGCATAGCAAAAAGCTGCATTTCTGCTGTTTACCTAATAGGGTTCAGGATTAAAAGTAAACTTCCTGAACACATCAGGTATAATAAATTACAGACTAGTAGTCTGACATGACACATTGCACTAGAGAGAACTACTTCTCTGTGAGCCAATGTCTCTAAGGCGTAAAGTCAGAGATTGTTTTCTTTTTAAAGAAAACCGAGAAGGACATTTTTTCCCCATATTTATATGAGCGATAATCATCCCATTCTAAAATACGGTGTGGAAAATAGCATGGGCTTAGATAAACTTTTGCAAGATACCTCATGCTGGTAAGTCCAACCAGGATAGAATCAATAAGAAAAACTGGGAAGAAGCTACCATTCAAATGGACATTTCACAGTCACTATAAAATGCATATTTGCTTTGCATAGTAAATTATAGCAAATTACATAATGCAAAAAAGTGTTTCAATAAACACTGAAGATGGAAAATGTCCCACTGAAGACTAGAGTATTTCCAGAAAGTCCAAAGCACGCAAGTTAACATGGATTAATATTACTAGAGTAAGAAAAAAAGATTTCTCACATACAGACAGCTTAATACCCTTGTAGACTACTCAAAATGTTTAGCTAGATCAGGCTAGTGCCACTCACGGAAAGCACATTATACTTGAGCAGTCCTTCCGAAGGTATTCAGACACAGAATTCATAACGCTTACTTAAATGTGTAAAACCCATAAGGAATTAAAAGGCACTGACTGAAATGCCATTTCCTCCTTATTCACTGTTACAGAAATTGGTATGTCCTGAGGAACCTAGGACAGCAGATTTTTTTGTTTTCACCTTAGTCTGCGCAGCATGACCTATTCCAATTTTGAAGTCACTGTCTAGTGTTTCTGAAAGAGAGTCAACAAGGTCAGAGGATTCTCCTTTCTGCATTGGCTGTGGGAAGAGATTTCTACTGCAACTATTTACACTGTTTTTATAGCTATTAATACTTCAACTGACACAAGTACTAAATACACACACATATTTCAACACACACACACAAAATCTCAGACTAGATGGATTCAAGACTGAGAACCGGGTATTTGCAGCTCTTCTCCCCTCTGGCCATTATGTCACTTGCTAAACACTTGGTTCTGGTGCCTCCGTTTCTCTGCACTGCAGTGCAGTGAATCCCACTGCAGGTAGCTAACGTTTGAGTGATTTTGAATGGAATGCTGTTATATAGTTTTCCTGACAATAGAAATCTTGTACATTACTTCTTGCATGCTAATATACAAAGTCTTATGCTGAAATATTGTATGTAACTACCAAGGTTTTGATAATAATCAAGCAATCAAACCATCCATGTTTCTAAACCCATATTCTATATTCCTGGTACAATTAGCAGGACTTATCTTTGATCTATGTCTTCATTTAATGACTTTCATGTTATCCTCTGCTGTCGTAATTACTGCAGCAGGTAAAATTTCTGGCTACTCTTGGTTTTTACTCACGTGAACAGATTATGTATCTTCTAAAGTATCTACAACAGCTACTTACTAGATATTTAGATGCATACAGAGGTAACAATTTTAGAAAATTCTAGTTGGCGTTGTAATTTTCAAAAACACACAGGATACTCTAAAAAAGACCACCTGTTTCTAGCTAATGTAGTTTTGTACATACTTACACTGAACAGAAGAAGCATCTACCCAGTTCCTTGGAAAGGTGATAACAGATGAAATTACATTTGTCATAAATATAATGAACATTTTGTGGTATTTAGTGAAACACTGAAAGATAAGTAAAGTATACCATTAAGTGGAACAAATAAGCCTCCTTCAATAAATTAAGAATCATATGAATCTACCTCATTATCAGTAAGCAGTTTGTGTGAGTAGGGGTCTGGGTTCTCCTTCAGTGTACTCAGAACAGTATTGAGTAATTAGGTTACAATAGTCCATAGCTATTAAAAAAATGTGTGTCCCATTCACAATTTAAATTCTAGATATTTGTGAAATGCCACTTTTCAATGGTAATGCTATTTGCAACAGACCTTAAGTGCTCACAGGCATTTAAGTCTTGGGTACAGTGATGTCAAAGACATGTCTAGTCATTGAAAGGAGATCAGTGTTGCTGTATGTCTTATGATTTGGAAGTCATTATTGTCTGGTTTCTGAAAAAGCAGATATTTTGGGGTATGCCAGCATCTCATCAGTTTAGATTTACGCCAGTCTGATCTTCACATCCCTTCTAGGTGTGGACAGATTCAGTGAAGATATCCAACAAATGATGGGCTTCAAGCCAGGCCTCTACTGGAGATTGTGCTGGAAATTTGTTAGCCCTGCTTTTTTATTGGTAAGTGTTGATAATTATTTCATCATGGAAAGAATGCTAGTATGTTGCTTCCTAGAATATACAATAGGTACCAAGAGCAAGCTACTCATTGCTATGCCTGATGTTGTCAGGATGAATAGGAGTCACTCCAATTTAATTCTTTTTTCCCCTCAATGGCATTGGTTATATTTTGTATAATACATTTTAATTGTGAACGAGAAGCTAATTGCGGCTGTGGCCATCTTCTGTTCCTTCACTTTAGCAGGATTTAAAGAAAGCAGCTCTTCTTAGGGAACACTGAACACTTAGGCAGTGTTCTCCCTGTCCCCCCAGCATCTATGCATATTAAACATAAATCATTCTGTTGGGAAAATAAACTAACCAAGGGATAAGAGATTGTGTTAGCAAGAGTTTATTTTTCATTGGAGGATACCAAGATCCCCAAATTGTGGAATGACACCTTAGAATAGCTAATATGTAACTACACCCAGTAATTAGCTATGTGAAACACTGAAGAGATGTATTAAATATACCTTGTAAGCTGCTTGATGTGAAAAACAAATGCTTCATTACACTTGGGGAAAAAAAATCCCAGAGTGTGAATTTGGTTGCTTTGTGTAAAGGTTACATTCAGAACTAAACTACAGTTTTATATTGGGATCTTCTCCTATGCATATTTGTAAATCAAAAGGTCAGGATGAATAATATGGAAATTTGACCTCGCTATGATTTTAGGAGACTATTAATTGCACTAAAGCTGTGCGTTCTTAAGGCAGTACTGGTATTCCAAAGATACGCTGGGTAGGCTTTTATGACAGCCTTCAGGTCCACTTGGGTTTTTTTTTAATATAAAAGCTTCTGGCCCCAATTCATAAGTAAGCACCTACCAAGCATGTATTAATTATCCTTTTAAACACTGTTCTATAAAGAAGCTTGTATTGAACTATATCCTGCGGCACTTCAAACAGGCCGACTCAAGCAGAACGGAAAAATGCTGCACCAAGCATCCTTAGGTTGTGCGTATTAGGAGACTGTTGAAAATTTAAATTTTACAAAGAGCAGAGTTCTAGCAAGCGAGCTAGAGAAAGCTGAAGTGATTGTCAGTGTAACCTTCAGGTAGCTTAAGATTTCTTGGTGAAATGGCCCCAATACCTTCATACCGAAGCCTATAAACATAAGGGTCTGAATGAATCTGTAGGTAATGCATCTTTCAGCCATCACAATGCTCAGATTTTTTTTCCAGCTGGAATTGCTGAACTTGGAACATATCAACTTAATTACTGGGTACCACTGTATTTTAAAACCCATGGGAATGTATCACACTGGGTAGGGGACATCGGGCAGTTTTGCTACAGCTGTAAATTTTCTCAATTTTCTAAAAGGCAACATGGACATTACAATATTGATTTATAGGAAAAAAGTAAATATAATTTACCTTCTTACAGCCTATCTTTTGGGTTCATTATTCAGTACATTAAGAAAATAAAGCAAATTATGTTAAATTGACCAAAATGATTTAACTTAGTAATTTATAAGTGAAAACTATACAGATGTCACTAGCATGAAAAAAGGTAGTCCACCATTAGCCTACATGATGTAAAACTACAAAGTCTAGAAATTTGGTCACTCGATCTAAGAAACAGCATTTTTATACACCTGTATGAAACATACAAACTGCCTCACCAGAAAAGACAGAGACCATAAGCACAGTAAATACAAATAAAAAAAAAAAATCAGATATCATTTCTATGATATATATAGAGTATCATAATTTGGAAAAGGCTATCTCTGTAAGATAAAGGTAAGTTGGGGTTGGTCAGGCAGCTGGTATTAGGAAATATCTCCTTCAAGCTTTTTCTCCATACTGTCTGCATCTATGTACATCATCCCAAGAAAAATCTCAAAATAGAATTAATGTTTTTCTAACCAGATTTCACACTATCAGCTTCCTTTAACACACATCATTACTCTCCTTGTGTAGCCTTTGAAACCCTAAGCTCAAAATACTCTAATTTTAAATTGCTACATGGAGCAGAATGTGTAGGCTCAGAGAACCAAATCAAGGAACTCTGCATATTACACAACCCATATGGATCTAACAGG